GACAAGGTTCTTGGCTCTGATCAAGGAAATTCATTTTCTGGAGCTATCAAACTGGCCCCACTGAATGATCCAAAAATCTCAGGCCAAAATACCCTGGAAGCCATCATAGGTGGTGGAAAAGCTATACAGGCAAAATAATGCCGAGATGAGCAAATCAACCTTAGTTGTGTGAGCAAAATTATAGGTGAAACTAAAGGGAAAATGGATGTATGTTTTTTTTGTGTGAGAGAGAGACAGAGAGAGATCTGTTGTGTGACTTAAAACTGCAGTATTATTACAGAAAACTGCTGGCTGTGGATCCACAGGTTGGAAATTTGACTCTCCACCATGTCTCATTGCTAAAGCCTGTTCTCGATGATCCAAAGGGTCCGCTACAGCTATGCAGTTCTAAGATTCTAAGAAAATCACTCTCTCCAGTTTTAGTCTTTACAAACATCTTACATCTGACTAAGGATCACTCTATATGTTGGGTGAGAGCCTGTTGCATAGTGGGAAATCAAGCTCCTAAACCCTGGCTCTGCAGCCAGATATATAAACCACCGAGCTATTCAGAAATCTTGACCTCTGGCTCTGCACCTAGCTAACCAACTCACTGAGCTATCGTCTGAAAGACCACTTCTGTGTTTCACATTTGGAATGTGAAGAGGTGATCAAGGAATTTTTATATGGTTTTTTTTAAACTTATGATATTTTTACCCCATCTTTCTTAAAAGTACCCAAGTCAGCTTACATCCTTGAAAGACAGTATTTAAGACTCACAGTGATGAGTATACAATCCCAGGAGGGTTAAACAGATAACATTCGGGGAAAAAACACTAGCAGCACCAAAATACATTCAAAGCAGTAAGGTGCAACAATCCATTTAGAAACATAAGTAACACAAAATGCATTCAAAGCAGTGAAATAATTAGCTTGAACGTCCTCATTATCCCATCCCCATCTTCTTGATTCAGTCTTGATCTCCCTGGATCTGTATCCTCTTTATTTACAGGTTTTGACTTGATGGAGCAATTCAGCGTGCGAGAGATATTCGGAATGAAGGACAATGGAATCCACAGCTCTTATGTTCGCCTGGGGAGCTTCCCCATTGTTCAGAAAACACAGTAAGTACTGCTGCCCTTTCTCCATCTTACGCCTTACAGCATTCTCTTAGATGAGCATTTCACTCCCCTGAGATTATTTTAAAAAAAGAAAAAGAAGGTGAATGTAGATGCTGTTGTTTGCAATAAAATGTGTCCCTAATAGAGATGGGGGTATTGGTATTCGTATACGAATACCCCTGCAGAGGTGGAGATAACAAGGGTCTGGCCCCATGGGGCCAGACAGTCCACTCACCAATGTGCGGATGCTGTGGGCTCTGCACTAGTGTCCTATTGTTCCTTTGCTTGTGATCGGCAAGCCACTCCTGGCAGGAGGCAAGATGACAAGCCTCTCTGCCAGGTCAAAGTGTGGCTCACCGTTCGTGAGCGATGGAGCGATAGGGCACTAGTGTGGAGCCCGCAACAGCAGCGGATCAGTGAGTGGACTGTCCAGCATCATGGGGCCGGACCCTTGTTATCTCCACCTCTGCAGGGGTATTTGTATTTGCATATGAATACCACCTGGTATTCGTATATGAATACTCAGGGGTATTTGTATTCGCATACAAATGCCACCGGGTATTCGTATATGATTACGAATGCCACCTGGTATTCACATATGAATACGAATACACTCTCTCTGGTCCCTAACTTAATTTAATTGTGGACAAGATATGTAGAAACTACAGCTCACTCTGCACCCCCCCAAACTTTACTAAACACTACTCCATGTCATAGTTTCATCGCTGCCACTTTCATTTCCTGCTTGTTCTGGACCTAAACAATTGCTCGCTGCCCAATTCATGGCGCCAAGAGCAGCAAGCGATGTGCCAAAGCAGAATATTTTTAGAACATCCAGTAGTTGATCTGGGCACGGCATCAGAGGATGCTCCAGTGCAGGTTGGCAGTCACTGTAGGAGTCTGCAAGGACCCAGGGCTTTGGGATTTAAATTAGCAGGCAAGCACCTCATTCTGCGAACAGAGAAAAGTATTACAACAACAAGCGGTAGCAGGAGGTGCAAAGCTGATGTGAATCGCAGCCTACTTGCTTCTAGCTGCCAGACTGAGTAGGATGCAAAGACTACTTCCAGATATACTCAGCTGGAAATGATCAAACCTTTATTTTTTTTCCTTTTGGAATCAGTTGGGAGCTCAAACTATGACACCCCCCCCTCCCTTTCAGCCATTCCCCATCTCCTGTCCACGGGAAAGGAATGGGGAGTGGATCATATTTTTCCACCTCTTCTTTCCCCTTCCCCCAGAGATGTCTTCCCACAAGGCCTTCCTGATGAATATGCTTTTGTGACCACTTTCAAATTTCGCAAGGCGTCCAGACGAGAAGACTGGTACATCTGGCAGATCATTGACAAATATGGCATACCTCAGGTACGGTCGTCCGGTTTTTAGGGAATCCTTTGATGCTTTCTAATTTTGCTGCAGGAATCTCTTAACCTCCTCTTGCCCTTTCTATTTATTTATTTATTTGATTTATTGATTTATCTGATTTATATACCACCCGTCTGGCAGCCAAGGCCACCCTGGGCAGGTTATACGTGCCCAAACAATGAAGACAACAGCAAAAGTCTGTTGTCGCTAAAGACCATCAGCAACACTCTCTGAAACAAGAGTACTGGGATGTTTGGAGGACAGACGAAGTAGTGTGGAGGGCTTATCACAAGGTTGGCCCTACTATGCATTTTGGTGGAGCAACCTGCTTCAGCTTATTCCTTCTATAACGTAATGTTGTTGTTACATGTCATCGAGTCACTTCCGACTTATGGGAATCCTACAAATGGGTGACCTCCAAAATGTCCTGTCCTCAAAAGCCCTACTCAGTTCTTGCAAACCAAAGCCTGTGGCTTCCTTGAGGGAGTTGATCCATCTTGTATTGGCTCTTCCTCTTTTTCTGCTGCCTTCCACCTTTCCCAGCATTATTGTCTTTCCCAGAGAATCCTGCCTTCGCATGATGTGCCCGAAGTCAGATAGCCTCAGTTTCAATATTTTTGCCTCCAGAGAGCGTTGATTTGATCTAGGGCCCACTTGTTTGTTTTTCTGGCAGTCCAGGAGATCCACAAAGCTCTCCTCCAGCACCACATGTCAAATTATTTATGATTTTTTTCCCTGTCAGCTTTCTTAACTGTCTAGCTTCCGTGCCCATACATGGTGATCAGGATTTGATCTAGGCTTGATTTGATCCAGGGCCCACTTGTTGTTTGTTTTTCTGGCAGTCCAGGAGATCCACAAAGCTCTCCTCCAGCACCACATGTCAAATTATTTATGATTTTTTTCCCTGTCAGCTTTCTTAACTGTCTAGCTTCCGTGCCCATACATGGTGATCAGAAATATAAGAGTACAAGGGATCTTTGGGTCTTGAGATTCAAACTGACCTGAAGACATCTCCTTTGAGGCTCATATGGGCTTGGGGAGGAAATTGGAAGGTCTCCAAGAGGTTGGTTGGCCAGTGCTCAGCTATAGCCCTATGGCAAAGCATTGGGGCATGAGGTTCACCTTTATAAACAGGACAGGAGGTCAAGAGAGACTAGTGTTTTGGTTTTTTCATCCGCACTAGGGTAAGCCCTTCTGCAGGTTGTTGTAAGTTGTAAATTAAAAGTTACAAAGCACCTTGACAAACAGTACAGGAGATCAAGACAGACTAGTGTTTTGGTTTTTTCATCCACACTAGGGCAAGCCCTTCTGCAGGTTGTTGTAAGGCAGTGGTCCTCAACATTGGGCCTCCAGATGTTCTTGGACTACAATATCACCTTTATAAACAGGACAGGAGGTCAAGAGAGACTAGTGTTTTGGTTTTTTCATCCGCACTAGGGTAAGCCCTTCTGCAGGTTGTTGTAAGTTGTAAAGTAAAAGTTACAAATGGTGACTCAAGTTGAACTCCATAATTGTTGTCTCATCACTTAATTTCCTGTAGGGTGGGACAATTCACAACCTTATGCTTTTTTTCTTTCAAAGGTGTCTATCCGACTAGATGGTGAAAACAAAGCCTTGGAGTACAACGCCATCGGACTCACAAAAGATGCAGTGAGAGTGGTTTTCCGAAATGGTCGCGTTAGCGACCTGTTTGATCGCAACTGGCATAAGATTGCTCTGAGCATCCAGTCCCAGACCGTTTCATTGTACATTGACTGCAAACTGGTTCAGACGTTGCCTATTGAAGAGAGAGAAAATATTGACATCCAAGGGAAGACCGTGATTGGCAAACGCCTCTACGACAGTGTGCCAATTGATGTAGGTACCAAGAATGTTGGTGGCCCTTAAGGAAAGAGGGATCTGTTTGCTGTACCACAAAATCAGGGTTCTCCATCATTATAATGTTGTGCTACCAATGAAGAAAAAAAATTCTTCCCAGATATAACTAATTTTCAGATCAATCAATCAGTGAATCAACTTCTTTTTTTCCCCAAAGACCCATCTTCTAGGATGTTCTCTTTAAATAGATGATGCAAATTTCGAAAACCATTTCCAGTTCTTTCCTGGTGGTAACATTTTTGGAGAGATTTTTCTCTCCTAAGATTGGTGGGACAAGTTCTCCTGGGACTGGACCTGGGGAGGTAAGCATTGACTTACAATGATGAAAGCCTCCTTGGTTTCTTTTTAAGGAGAGAGGCTGGGTTAAAAAATATTTTAAATAAATAAATGCCCTATCCCATATCATCCAGAAGAAGGTATGCCACAAAGCAAAGGAAAAAAGTAACCATCCATTATTCCATGATTTCTTTCTTCTACAGTTTGATCTTCAGCGGATGGTTATATACTGTGATGCACGCCATGCTGAGTTGGAAACGTGTTGTGATATTCCTAATTTCCCTATCCCATACCATACAGAAGAAGGTATGCCACAAAGCACAGGAAAAAATGAGAGCAAAGTGACCATCCATTATTCCATGATTTCTTTCTTCTACAGTTTGATCTTCAGCGGATGGTTATATACTGTGATGCACGCCATGCTGAGTTGGAAACGTGTTGTGATATTCCTTCTGGGCCTGTAAGTTTCACTGTATGATTGCATCCTGGGGATGTATGAGTTATGAGCTTACTCATGCACCAGTGACTCAGTATTGAAATCTGTTAGCAAAGAACGGGAAATAAGTAAGAATCTTTTGCATTTATTGAGGAATATTTAGATTTCATTACTGGTGACATTGTTTTCCTCTGGTTTTTTCTTCTTTGACAATCTTTTAGAAAAAATACTCCTGTATTTCTCCCCTCTCTTCTTACTCCCTGTTTCATCACCAGACCTATGGATGCTCCTACCCAATCAGGGATTATGGAGTGAATTGGATGGTGTCAACATATGTTATCTGCTAGATTTGGCTTATGATGTCTGTGAAAGGGATCAAGTCAATTAAGAGAGAGGGCAACATCAATGATGTATGTATTCTAGAACACGCAGAGAAAAGGCAGGATTTTTCATGTTACTGGGAACGCAACAAACAAGGGTCAGCCCAGGGCTAGTTAAAATGCTGGTGATCCAGTAAAAAGAGAAACCGTGTTCCTGATCCGTACTGTTCTTGTTCTGTTCTGGCTACAGTGCCGAGTGACTTTTGCTACAGAACCGCCTCTGCCTGAACTTCCTCCCACTCCTGGCAATGAGCAGGTCGGGTACAATACCGTCAATTGTTCCTGCCCACCGGGAGAAAAGGTATCTATTTTGAATCTGTTGGAGAGATGGGGCTAGATCATTGGTTCGCAGCCTTGGGTCACCCAGGTGTTTTTGGACTGCATCTCCCAGAAACCCTAGCCAGCACAGCTGGTAGAAAAGGCTTCTGGGAATTGCAGTCCAACATCTGGGCTAGATGTTCATTTAAACAATTTTTTTGTTTTTTGTTTGTTTGTTTTTTAGAAACACCAACACCAGTGTTATGATTTTAATGTCGAACTAATTTAATATTATCGATACAGAATATGATCTGGTTACTATGCAGTTGAGTGGAGTTTATTCTTCAGCATCACAGGATGGTTGGCTGAATGCTAATCCTTACAGAACATCACTAACATACATGGTATTTAGACACTGATGTCATCGTATGCCATCAAGTCAGTTCTTGCTTATGGTGACTGGAGATGTGCATGAACTGGAAAACCGTTGGTTTGTGATGGTTCCCGATTCATGAGTGATTACAAACCACATATCAAAAACCACCACGAACCCCTGCAATAACAAACTGGTTTGTGGTTCAGGAGAGGGGGGTGTCTTCCTACTCCGACGGGCACCTCCTTTTGGCAAAACAAAGGAGAAAAGGTCTGGCATTTCGTTTCGCTTCAGCAAAACAGAATCCCCAAGCTAGGTCATGAGACAAAGCACAAACTAGCCTGGTTTGTCGGGGGGGGGGGGGTTAGTTCATGGTTTGCTTCCTGCCCGTCTCTAATGGTGACTCTTTTCAGAATTTTCCTGCTAATACTCCGAAGTTCAGCCTTCCCTTCTTCTGGGGGCATCCTGGGACTATGCATTTTGCCCAAGGCTACCTAGGCTCCCTCTTTTGAGATGCGCAGTGGGAAACATAACTCCCAACCTCCTGTTCTGCAGCGGAATACGTAACTCGCTGAACTATCCAGCCAACGAATAATCAATAAACATGTGTCTTCACATAAGTGGAAACTTCCTGCGTGTCTGATTCTCGCCCAGAAAATGGGAATAACTCCTGAGGGTGTTGTAAAGGCAATAATGTTGAGCTGTATTACTGCAAATATGAGAAATCTGAATCCCTAGGGTTCATAGGCCATCCCTATGGGGATACACGATGACAGTGTGCTGGAAGTAATAGTAAATTTTGTGGAGTAATAATCTTCTCTCATTTTAGGGTGAAAGAGGCTTGCCTGGGTTTGAAGGCTTGAGAGGTTCAAAGGTCAGTTTTGTCTCAGCAATAAAAGAGCTGGATTCCCCCTTCTTCTTCTTCTTCTTCTTCTTCTTCTTCTTCTTCTTCTTCTTCTTCCTCCTCCTCCTCCTCTTCCTCTTCTTCCTCCTCCTCTTCCTCCTCCTCCTCCTCCTCCTCCTCCTCTTGTTTTGTAGGACAGACCCTGAATAAGGTTCATAAGGTTTATTTGTAGCTTGCTTCTAAATCACATGGGGGGAAAAACTGATCTTGGAAATGGTGGCGAAACAAGGATGCAAAAGTACTGCTTCTGTGTATTCTGTCTAATACTGTTTGTGTAAAAATATCTTCACAGCTTTGAAAATGAAGTCACATGGATGATCTCTTTAATTCAGCCTCAGATCACACTTGTAGTGCATCCTGGTACAAATCATATTGGGATGTAAAATGTACTATCCCGAAATGCCATTGGATGTGCAGAGTGGGAGCCCCAAGCCTGGGAAAGATGATAACTCTCCAGGCTTATCTTGGTCCTCATTCTCAGGAGCTCACCCCCTATCCCTTAGGGGACAAAATAGAGCTGAGGCAAATTAAAGTCAAAGATTTCTCAGGAAACCAGGAATATTTGGCAATGTTGTTTTCCTCCCTTCACAGGCAATAGAAGAGATCACTAGAAATGGGGGAGGGGAAGATTTCACAATCCCACAATTCAGTGTGAATCCCCAGGTTGAAATGGCAGGAGGTCAAGGAGCCGTATTACCTCCATCCCGTTCCCCACAGGTTCACCATGCCCTCTGAAAAACACACTTTTGTGCATCACTTTTTGTGAATCGAAAGGATCCCTGTGTCTGGCGCAAAGGTGCATAGGTGAATGGGTTTTGACAGAGGCAGCCTCTGTGTGCCCTTTATGGAGGCAGCTTCCATAGGCACTCATGCTGTTCTTGGTGAGCTGCAGGGAATCCTCGTGACTCACAAAGTGCAATTTTCAGATGATGCAAAGAGTCAGCAACGGGAGTGGCATGGAAGTAAGAGGGCTCCTCTGTGTCCAGCCATTTTCATGGTTCCTAGTTCCAGAATTCAGCCTTGGGTTTCTGTCCAATTTTGGGGGGGCTAGCAGGTCTTTTTCCCCAGGAAGTCCCATCCCATGAAGTCATATTCTCACAAATTTCTCTGAATACTCTCCACCAATGTAGCATCAGTAACCCCCTCCTTCTATACCCCAGGTGAACTTCAGGGCACTGCTGAGGATGCAAAATGATGGCTAGCGTCTGACCTATAATGGCTGGAATCCTGTTGGTATTCATGTGAGGCTTGCATAATATGGCACAGCTAATTGTTGCTGATTCACAAGGTGCCAGGCTGAAACTAGGTGCATGACTGAGATGTACTCCAGCACCTTGACCATTAGTTGCAATTAGCCACGGCAATGGGATTCTGGTCCATGATAGCAACACAAAAAGAAAACAGAAAGTAAAGCTCCCTCTAGAAATGGGGAGCCCCACCTTTGAGACTGTTGAAGTTCTTTTTTTCTTCTCCATGTAGAAAGATGTTGAAAGGTGTCACCTTCCCCTTTGCCCGCCCGTAAACTGGGTGGAAAGTTCATTTGCGTATAGTTCTACCCTAAAATACTTCTCTAGCTAAAACTTGAAACACATGATCAGAACAAATTGACAAAAATACCCCACCTTGGCAGCCCTGTCATCTGCTGGCTCAAAACAGCCTAAAGCTCTGTCTTTGTCTCCGTTGTTCCCATTTCCATTTCTGGCTGCCAGAAAGGCAAGGCCTCACATGCCTTTCGCCCTATAAATAGAAACTTTCCATTTTGATCAGTGACAGTGTAACTGATGAGGGTCCTTTTGTGAAATGACATGAGAAATTACCCTAAGGAGGAAAACAAGAGGCTGGCAACAATAGAGAAGGAATGTTTTTAATGGATGCCAGCCGCCATGTCTCCGAGTTATGGATCCAAATGGGGGGGATTTAGAAATGCTAATGCAGAGCCATGTAGCCTTGAAATGGCCACCATGTCTCTTTAATAAGAGTCTACACTGACAGACCACAGAATTGGGCTTGAGGTCTGAATAAAATAATAGAATAACTGAGCTGGAAGGGATCTGTAGACCATGAAGTCAAGGCAGGAGTAGTTACTTTGGAAAAAGAATCCAATGCAGTTTAGTTTGTCTTGGAAAGAAAATGGCGTCCTTTAGATCCTGAACCCCAATAATGATGGTGATAATGATGATGATGTCCATTCTGACTTAGGGTGAGCTCTTTTCAGGGTTTTCTAGATTGAGAATACACAGAAGTGGTTAACCCTTCCCTTCCTCTAGGAGTTCTCTAGGATTCTGTTCTATCCATCCTAGAGGACCACAATCACCCTGGGACAGATTCTTAAGAACAGGATCTCATCCTTTTCTATCAACACATGACTGAGCTTTGCTGACTAGTCTCATTCCTGATGGGAGAAGTTGAATCATAATGACTCTGTGTGAGGTGGATAGCTACGCTGTCTAGCATTAGTGTGTGCAAGTGGATATATTCACAGCAAGATACAGTGGTGCCTCACATTATGATGTTAATTCATTCCAGCGAAATCGTTGTAGAACAAAAACATCGTAAAGTAAAATTAAAAAGCCCATAGAAACACATTAAAACCAGATTAATGTGTTCCTGTGGGCTTGATGCTCACTGTCCAGTGACGATCTTCCATAGCGTGGCCATTTTCGCTGCCCGTGCAGCGAGGAATCCGTCCCAGAAAACAGCGGGTGGCCATTTTTTTTTACCCGGCAGCCATTTTGAAGCCGATTAGCTGTAGGAAAATCATTGTTTTGCGAGAATCGGTTCCCGAAGCAGGCATCCGATCATCGCAAAGCGAAACTCCCCCATAGGAAACATCGTTTTCGAACGTCATTATGTGATTTCGTCGTAAAATGGAGCGCTCGTCTTGCGAGGCACCACTGTAATCTTCTTGTCTTCATCTCTGTGTTCAACAGATTCATGCAATTGATATATGTCTTCTGGCTGGTGTTCTCTCTTAGCATTTCCTGTATTTCTGAGATCTAGCAACCATTAGCAAACAAACCTTTCCTAAACGCTACAGTCAAAATACTATATCAAGTTCAAGTTTATTGTATTGGCTAAAAGCCGTCACAATTGATTGAGATACAAATATGATCAAGTAAAATCATGATAAAATCACATACATGTAAAATAATAAGGAGGAAATATTTTTTTAAAAGGGGGAGGAGAGAATCAGAGGGCCATGTGTGGGTGCCCCTTCATATCTGGGAGCCCCCCACACAATTGATCATGAATCTGGCTCTCAGGAAATTAGCGCAGATGTAACTACTATAATAATTACTATATATTTCCTTTAGTTTTATTTTCCTTCCTTCCTTCCTTCCTCTTGCTCTAGATAAAGAAAAGGATAGATCAACAGTGCATTATGATTTAGAAGTTCTAGTAAAAAGTACCCACCCACCCCAATTGTTGCATCTCATTCTCTGTACTTAACACTGTTCTTTTTTGTCAAGGGAGAAATTGGACCCATCGGTGTTCCTGGCCCAAAAGGAGAAAAAGGAGAACAGGTAAGGAAATATATCAACACTCAAACATTCTGGATGTAGATCAAATGTGATCACACATTCACAGTAACAGATTTGTAGCACTAGACCTACAATCAGGTTATATTTTGGTTGACTTGATAGATTTTGGATCTATAATTCAAATGTCTTCTATAAATTGTAACCTGAAAAAACAAAACTCTCTGTCTGTCTGTCTGTCTGTCTGTCTGTCTGTCTGTCTGTCTGTCTGTGTGTGTGTGTGTGTGAGAGAGAGAAGAATAAGTTTGAAAGTAACTTCATATAACTGAAGGAGCTTTGATCAGTCTCTTAAATTTTACATAGGAACTACACACACCACAGTGTTGTATCGTTTGCATTAATTTGAAGTGAGACATGTTCTGTGGATATAGGACTGCAAATCATCATCATCTTAGAATTACAGAGCTGTAACCAGAAACCAAATCACTGAGGAATCGGGCAGTATCACCTGCAAGGTTTCACATGAAAGCCTCGTGTTATGCTTTGCCTACCAATGCTAATCCAATGAATTAGTCCTTTCATCTAAATAGGTAAAGGTTCCCCTTGACATTTTAATGAATTAGTCCTTTAATCTAAATAGGTAAAGGTTCCACTTGACATTTAGTCTAGTCGTGTCCGACTCTAGGATGTGATATTCATCTCCGTCTCCAAGCCGTAGAGCCAGTGTTTGTCTGTAGACAGTTTCCGTGGTCACATGGCCAGCACGACTAAACACAGAACACCGCTACCTTCCCACTAAGGTGGTACCTATTTATCGACTCACATTTTTACATGCTTTCAAACTGCTAGGTTGGCAGGAGCTGGGACAAATGACGGGAGCTCACTCTGCCATGTGGATTCAATTTTACGATGGCTGGTCTTGTGACCTTGCTGCACAGAGGCTTCTGTGGTTTAACCCGCAGTGCCACCATGTCCCGACTTCATCTAAATAGTGGTTGATTAATGTGGTTGTCATAGAGTTCCTACTTGGTTCTTTACTACAGAAGGAACCCATAAGTGAGGAAGGATTCTAGAGTAAACATCATCCTCTAGATCTTGTTCGAAAATGTGGCGTTGTGTATTCTTTTTATTTATTTATTCTATTTGCACCCTGCCTATCTGGTCAAAACAACCACTTCATTTACAACAGTGGTTGCACTATTTCAGACTTTCTGAGTCATCCGGTGCCATGTAGCAACTAGAAAACTCTAAATGATCTGAGCTGCAGTTTGAGCTTTTCACCCTCTTTGATAAACATAAATAGCAGACATGCAGAAAATAACTGGCCACTGTTTTCTCAAAACAGATGTTTTGGGCTTAGGACCACCTTTTCCAAAATATTATTGCACATGGGGGTTTCCTCCTCACCTTGGTGTTGTTGCTTTCAACAATGCAGAGAGGTTTAGACTAGGAATGTGCTGCCTTTGGACAAATTTTGAA